CTTTAAGTTCACTGGAATTTCAATGCCTAATGTTTGAAATGCTTCAATTGCTTTTAACCAAGCCAAAACCGGCCCTTTGTCATCGGTTGCACCTCTTCCATATAATTTTCCATCCTTTTCTATTAACTTGAAAGGTTCACTGTCCCATCCATCTTCCTTAGCTGCTGGTTGAACATCCAAATGCCCATATATACATATTGTTTTTTTAGTAGGATCAGCACCAAGATTACCAAGTATAATGGGTGGAAAAGGAATCTTACAACCATCAGGTGTTACTTCATTAATTAAAGGATTGTCACAGACTTCAATTGTTGCCCCAAGTTTCTCTAACTCCTAAAAATAATTTAAAAAAGTAAATTTTTACACAGTATTTATAGCAGATTAGCTTTAAAAGTGAATATGTTAAATGTATTTTGTGGACAATTTTGAATAACTATGACAGACTAGAGCAAATTTACAGACTGGAGTTGCAAATTTTAAATTTGGCCTGATATACATTGTGTATAATTTTTTCTAAAGTAGTCTACTGATGAAAGAATCTTCCATTCATTCTAAAAAGATATTAGATTTAGATACAATTTTAGAGGCTTGTGTATACCACTTACGATTTTAGAGGCTTGTGTATACCACTTACGATTTTAGAGGCTTGTGTATACCACTTACGATTTTAGAGGCTTGTGTATACCACTTACGATTTTAGAGGCTTGTGTATACCACTTACGATTTGATGCAATTGTGATGTTAAGATTATGCTCCTTTTCAAATTTCAAAAGATTAAAGGTGACGGAAGATATAGCATATTAAGTTTTGGATTGTTTTATATATTCTTTACATTTTTTTTTATATTTCAGATTTCAAAATATTTGTATATTTCAGATTGCAAAAGTTTTATACATTTCAGATTTCAAAAGATTTAAGGTGACGGAAGATGCAGCAAAGTAAGTTTTGGATTTATTTTATACACTTTTCAGTTTTAAGTTTTATCAGACTATTCTACAATTACTATTCTACTATTCAACAATTCTAAAACTTTCTTAAACTTAAATCTTTTGGTTGTCTTAATCTGAAGCATTTTTAATATGAGCTTATTAATTGATTTTCTGTTAACAGAACTGGAGGAGGGGGGACCACTGCCAAATTTCCTAATATCATTTTTGCGCTTTTAAGGTAAAAATATGCACTTAATTTTTTAATTTTTCAGAAAAGTAAGAAAAAAAATGAAGAATAGTGAAAGAAAAGATTTAAATATTAATTACAAAAATATTAAAAATTTGACATCAAGTTTCTTTTTATATAATATATATTTTAAATGATTTAACTTTTTCAAAAAGTTCTAATTTTTTTTTTTCAAAACTGTCAAACAAATTAGTAATTTAACATTTAAACTAAAAGTTAAAAATTGGAAATTTTACTTCTATGACATTGGCAAAAAAATCATTTCTACAAAAAAATTTACATGTAAATAAATTGTCAGATTTAGATTAAATTTTTTATTCTTTTTATTACTTACATTAACGCTATATTGTTATTTTTAACAATTAAACATTTTAAAATACTATCTTTTAATACTAATAAAAAATCTATAAAAAGTTACACAACCAATTTTCTTAGGGATAATAGTTTGCAATATTTGTTTCAGATAATTATTACCAATTGCAACACAAGCAATTCTTTTTGGACAATCAATAAAACCAATAATGATTACAAAACAATTCCCTTTGATACTAATTTAGTACAAAGAATTACCGCGTGAACAGAATAAAAGCTGCAGCCCTAAGTTTAATATAGTTGAATAGTTACAGTGAATCAAGTTGATTTTCTTTTTTTTTTTTATTTAGGTGGACTAAAAAGTCCTTACAGTCTTATCACAGAGCACCGCAGATGAGCATTTAATTATTGGGAAGTTCACGCCTCCTTCCTCACCAATGTCAAAAAACTTGCCCAGAGGTGGGCTTTAAACCACAGATCCTTTGTTTCAGAAACAAGTGCACTACCACTGCGCAAAGGCTGCTCAAAGTTAATTCACTTGATTGGATATGGTGTTTTAATTTTTATTGATTTTTCGTCAAGTTCCAAGCTTGATCTCCACCGCGCCCCTGGTAGTACCGGTCCCAACTTGTTTCTCAGCGCAGCAGCCTTGTTTGTCAAAGTTTGTGTTATGGTGTTATAGAGTTGAGAGAGGGCTGTAACCACAACTTAAGTACCCTCCTTGGCTGTAGTGGCCTTACTAGGCTTGGGGAGGTAAGATCAAATTTAAAAAAAAAGTGTTTTGCTTAACTAGTTTAGTGACTGATTTATGAAATAATAAAGAAAGCTCAGGTAGATGGAAGCCCCTTCACAAACTACGATGGGAAGAATATACCTAAAAGAAAACCTGGAAATGAAAACCTGGACTTGTTTTGTTAATGGATTTGAAGTAAAACAATGATAATTCAAAGACTGTATGCACGTGCTGCACCTGATTGTGACTTACAGGTAAAAATTAAAAGCAAACATTTAAGCAACAATGTTAAGACTGATGCAACTGTGGAGAAAATGGTTCATAATTGCAGAGCCAAAATGTTTTCCAGAAAAATTAACAAATTGCACAAAAATGTCAAAATGATAAAAAATAAAGAAATTGCACAAAAATGTCAAGATGATAATAAAATAAAAGGTCAAGATGATAATAAAATAAAAATCATATAAATTATATTAGTATAAGTGAATATTAAAGTAATAGTTCATAATATTAAAAGTAATAGTTCATTTGATAATATATTCTTAAAATAATTTATGCTAGATCTCAAAAGGCAACAAACTGTGAATAATACAATTGCTAAAACATTTCAACAGAATACTCTAAAACTTTATTTCGTTTAGTCAGCGTATTTTTTGAACCAATAAAATTAGATTGTTTGTAAATTTGGCGTGTTCTTAGTGTTTGCGAATATTCTTTAAGCATTCGAATATTCTTTATATTTTTTGTTCCTTTAAGCAAACTTAATTGGCACAAATTAATCAGCATTATTTGGCGAAAAAAATCAGCACTAGAGATTTTTCAAGCTTTTATTCCCCTTTTTTAATATGGACTGTGCCGGGTACCAGGTTTTCCTGTTTCCGGATTCAGTTTTTTTCTTCTGGGTACCTGGAATCGGGGACTCAGCATAAACTGGTTTCAGCACAGCTCTAATTTAAGGAATTAACGGCCGCAATTTTATAAAAAATAATTATTGTCTGATGGATCAGTTTGCAGCAATGTGCACAGAAACGAAAATGTTACATTCAAAAATCAACACTTTTATGAGCCACAAAACTAAAAATAAAGGTAAAGTAGTTTCCTGAAACTATATTGATGTCAATTCCAAATATTTATTTTGAGAAGTTCTGATTGTTCAGTGCTGTCTCTTCCTACAACCCAAGCTATTCTGGATAGATAAACTTTGGCTGCAGGAAGAGGCAACACTGATCTAATATGACACAGTTTTAAAGTGGTTAAAATGTAAAATATTTACAGTATACCAATTAATTCATTTGCAAAAAAAAAAAATTTAGTCAACTCTTTTAAAGGGACCTCTAAGTGCTCCTAACATATGATCTCATATGAAAGAGCATAAAAAAAAAATCTGTAAGTATTTTTTCTTTTTCACTAAATTGTAATAATAAATGCATGCTAACAAAAAGCAATTGCCGAAATCACTAAAAAACAACTCCATTTTGATTTTATTTTTTCACCATTGAAACTCGATTGTTGGTCGTTAAAAATCATGTTAGTACATCACAACAACTTTAAAATATCTACTTCGATTTTCAAGTAAAAAAAAGTCGTGATTAAATAGTTAAGTTTTAATCAAGTTTTTTTAATTAGTTTTGCAAAAACAGTATAATAGCATTCGGTTGAAAGACGTTGTTAAAACAAAGTTATTAAGTAATAGTTTTAAATAGTTTAGAACTTATAAAAAAGTCTTACAAGGCTCGTATTAAGCGTATCGTGATCGCGATTGCTACACACGCTTTTGTGATTAGTTTTTTTTTTTTTTAAAATCTTTTCGCGACTTGTTTTTTTTTTGGTTGATTAATTACTTTTTTTCTAGCTTAGCATTTTTTTTAGCAATTCTTAAAAGTAATGTTTTTATCATAAAGAACGTCACACAAACTTTATTATTCTGAATAGATAGATGAATAGATGATTTGCTCTTTCGCGCGGAGATTTTCTTTTGACGTAAAACATTTTTGAATTTAAATTACTTTAAATCTCTGCGTGGAAAATTTTTACAAGGTCGTTAAAGCGAAAAGTTGAAAAGTTGGTTTTTATCTTTGTTTATCAAAACTTCATGTTTAAAATAAAGCTTAAAAACGTTAGAGCAAAAAAATTACTTTTATTTGCATTTTTATGTTTGAAAAAAAAAAACTAATAAAAAAGAATTAATTGTTATTATTATTAATTCTAATAATTATTAATTAATATATTATTAGTTAATTCTTTTTTATTAGTTTTTTTTTTCAAACAGTATAAAAATGCTAATAAAAACCAGTAATTTTTTTACTTTAACGTTTTTAAGCCTTATTTTAAACATGAAGTATAATACGATTTATTAAACCAAATTTTTTTGTTTCATCTTTTATTGGAAAACTTGAAATAGAAAAATTGAATAAAAACATCAACCATTTAATGAAAAACTTAACTATATTTAAACTTTTATTAGTCCTTTATTCAAGAAACAATAAATTATCAAAAACGTGGTATCTAATTTTTTATTAAGTTTTTGAAGATGTTTTTTGATTTATTGACGATAATTTTTTCCCTCCATTACCGCACATCGGTGCGAGCTATAAGAGAGAGAGAGGGGGGAAAGCAAAAAAAAAAATTTTTTTTACGTGATTAGATTTTTTTGCGTTAATTCGAGCCCTGTCTGTTTAATTTCTAATAAAATGTCTATTCAACCTTATCAATTTGAACCAAAAAAATATAGCAAAATTAACATAAATGTTAATTTAACTAAAACATTTTACACTAATTATTTTTTTTATCAAGCAAAAATGAGAGTAACCATCACTTTTGAAACCTTAAAAATTACTGAAATAACTTTGTTTTTCTACTAAGGAAATATTTTAAATAAACTTTCATGTGTCTAAGTCAACATTCATTTGTTTTTAACTGACTAAAAAGAGTTTAAAATTTGACTTCTATTCATTTTTGGCCATGGAATTGCCTTTATAACACAAATATATAAATTAAAATTATAAAAAAAAATTTTAATATACAAATATATTTTCACAAAATGCTACAAAACTTATTCTTGTAAGTAATTATGTGTTAGTTGAAAAAAAACGACTTTACTTTTAAATTTAATTACCAATTAATAATTTTGCAATAATGACATTTTGTCTACTTTGTTTAATTTGACGTACAAACGTTAGTTTTTTGAGGCAGTAGAGTCAATAAACTTTGGACAAGACGCATTTTTTTTAATCAAAGAAAAGCGTTTTTTTGAAAATTAAATTTGTTAGTGTGTGTTCATTATTACGTTTTAGAAAAAATAATATACATCAAACATTTTTTTTAATGCTCTTTCATATGAGATCATATCTTTATAGCACTTAGGGATCCCTTTAAACAATTCAAAGAATGAGTCTAGTTCAAACTGATTACAAAAATCTTATGTATTGATAAAAAACGTGGTCGCAAAATACAATTTTACATGGGAGTAAAAACTTATGACAATAAAAAATTTAATACAAGATTTTTTACAAGTAAATAAAAATTTAATATAAAATTTTTTACAGAGGAGTAAAAGCTTATTATTAATAAAAACGTAGTAAAAAATCTTATACTACACGCCAATTTTTTAAAAACAACAAAAAAACAACCTTTGCTACAAATTTCACCATCTTTATAGTATCTTCTCTTTTGTGAGGCCATGCTGAAACGCTTTGAATTTCAACCCAAGCTGCTAGAGACTCAGTATAGTTATCCTAGGCATAATGTAAAAAGAAAATTTTGCTTAAATTGAATTAACTGCTGAAATATAAGTAAAATTAACAATAAAACAAACAGTGTTTTTCTGCTTCTTCATATAATTCTTTCCAGCCCTAGCCAAAACCTACCTTAGATTGATGGCCTTAGTGTTGTTTTATACAAACAATATAGATAAGAACACCAGCCCTTGGAAGTAGGATCAGCCTTCAACAATGCTGACCTAACTGCTAACCAAGAAGCTTTGAGGTTGGAAAAAAATTCCCAACCTCATTCCTATGGTTTATGGTAAAACTTTTGTTTTGCTGCCCTGATGCCGAACTCTAAAACATTAAGGTCAGCAAATTATTGCCAAACTCATTTTTCCTATTCCGAAGGCTGGAACATAGTATATAAATTTAATTTAATACATTACCTGATTTTTGTCAACATAGCTAAAATAAAAAAAAAAAAAAAAATACATATTATTGACTAATTAACATATATATATATATATATATATATATATATATATATATATATATATATATATATATATATATATATATATATATATATATATATATTTTAGGGATATGACTTTCTTAACTTTTTATACAATTTGGACAACCCCATATTATTTTTGGATGAGTTTTTCCTATAAAACAATGAAGAAATTTTTATTTTCCTTCAAGTGTAAAAAAATGTCACGCCCCTCGGCTGAAATGTTTTTTAATACAATATAAATAGGAATATAATATACTATACATATTACATATGGGCCAGAAAACATAAGTTAAAGAAGTCATAACCCTCTATATATATTTTATTATATTATATTATTATATTATATATAATAAAATATATATATAGATGGTTAATATATATTATATATATAATTTTAAATACATACCAGACGTATGCATTACCACTTTATAATTTCTAGTTTTTCACTGCCGTGCCTAATTGTTTATTAATTAGTTTCAGATTTTTTTGTGCTGCTTTTAATTAAAATGGCATACAAATACTGCCAATCAAGTGTTGAAAAAAATAAAGAGACAAAAAAAATCTTGTGAAATTTCAAGATTGGCATAAAAGTAGACAGTTTCCAATGTTAGAAACATCTTTTCAAGAATATTCCAAAATGCCATTAAAAAGTGATATTGTTAGCAGGTTTAAGTATTTGTCTAGTACTGAAGTGAAAGCCAAAAAGCAAAGGATAGATCTTATTTCAGAAGAAGTTATAAGTTTGTGGAAAGAACAATTAAATTTCCCATGTCTGACAGAGCAGTCAGTGAAGCGAAAGAATAATGATGTTATAGAAAAATATGAAAGTCTAAGAAAAAAAGGGAATGTCGACCTTCTGCAAAAAGAGATTTTTGATATAACAAATCAAAATGGCATTTGGTTATCATCTGAAGATAAAAGATTTTATGAAATTCAGTTACAAAGCAAAGGAGAAATTGGATATGCTACTTCAAAGCTGGCAGGAAAGAAGACTATTCATCCATCAATTGTGCAAAAACTTTCCAGCCAACCTTCAGCATCTAAAAGTTTTTCTTCATTTACTGAAAGTAGTAAAATAGAAAGAGACAACTCTAGTTCCAAAATTGAAGAAACTGATGAACAATTTGAGATAGATAATGAAATTACAGATGAAGAATATAATAATTTGAAGAAAAAACGTAAAAAATATAGTAGTTGTAAAATAGCAACAAAGTTAGTGGTTTGTGCTAAGGTATCAACTAAGAAAGCTTCTAAAATAGGTAAAATACTGTCCTCAGAAGGCATACATGTTCCAGCGCCATCACAGTCTGGAATATACAAGGCTCTTTTTAATGAAGCAAAACAATTTAAAGAAACTTTAATTCAAGATTTAAAGAATGAGAATTGGAGTCTACACTTCGATGGAAAGCATATAGACCAATGGGAGTATCAGGTTGTCGTTCTTAAAAATGAAAGAAGCGAAATAAAGTTGGGCGCACTGAAGTTAATAGATGGAAAATATATCACTAATATTAATGCCATAGCTGATATTATAGATGAATTTAAACTATGGAATTCAATTAAAATGATTGTGACAGATACTACAAATGTCAATATCGGAAAGAAAAATGGTGTTGTTGTAAAACTTCAGGACATTTTTCAAAAAAAAAGTAAAACTTCAGGACATTTTTCAAAAAAAAAGACATGGTACAAATTGAGGCTTTTTTACAAAAGCCTCAATTTGTACCATGTCAACATCATATCTTGGATACTTACTTAGACTAGAAATGGAAATACTTAGACTAGAAATGGAAGAAAAATTGGGAGAAAATCCGAACTCACCAAACATTAATTACTTTTTTACTAACGAGTTGTTAGAACATTATGAAACACTGAAGACAAATTTTTATAATGGTACAGAAGAAATAAAAGACACAGGAGGATGGCGAGATGACATAAAGTTTCAGTTTCATCTGACGAGAACCTACCGATACTATGACCAAAATAAAATATTTCCTAATCTAAGATTTCAAAAAATCCCTAATATCAGTAATGCTCGGTGGAGTTCAAGAGCTATTTTAGCGTTGTTAGCCTACATTCTTATGCCAAAAACAAGAAACAAACTTGAATCTGTATGTACCTTTATTTCTTACAAGTGGGCAGACTTTTGGTTTGACGACCAAACCTATAAAGAAAACACTTATTCAGACCTTCATGAAGTTTTATTTAGCAAAAAGAAACCTCGTGCTACATTTACAAGTCATTGGAATCCAGAAGCATCAGCAATCAACATTCCCAGAAGTAATCAATGTGCTGAAAGAGCAATTAAAGTAATGGAGGAGCTTTATAGATTGTGCAGAAATAAAGACAATCTTCCGCTTCGTTTCATTTTGTCTAATAAACAATAACTGTATTTATTTAAATTGTATAAAATGTTTTTTCCTGCATTGAATATAACACTATGCCATGTATTAATTGTTAGAATAAATTATGTTTTTTTATAGAATCATATGAATGAACATGTTTGCAAATAGAAATGATTTTGGTCATTAATTTTTTTAAAACCTTTTTAAATCTTAATGTGCTTTGAGGCGTGACATTTTTTTGAACATCATGAAAGTATTAATATTTTCACATTTTATGCGTAAAAACTCATCCATTTTTGGGCCAGGGAAATTTTTTTTTAAAAAGTCATATCCCTAATATATATATATATATATATATATATATATATATATATATATATATATATATATATATATATATATATATATATATATATATATATATATATATATATATATATATATATATATATATATATATATATATATATACATATATATATATATATATATATATATATATATATATATATATATATATGTATATATATTAGGGTGGTTCTAAAAACAATTTTTTTTATAAATGAAATAAAAATTATTTTATGGGGTTGCTATCGACCTTCAAACATTTAATAGGTCCCTAATATTAAAAAAAAAAGTTTTTCAAAAGTATGTCATGTTGGGTCTCAAACGAAGCAAAATTATATAAAAATTTCAAAAATATTAATCATTTTATAGTTAATTTTTTTATTTTAGATCTTAGTGAACAGAAAATTATTTTTTAACTAAAAGCAATTAATAGAGAAATTAACAAGATTTTTTTATTAAAATTTTTTATCAATGTTTTTTTATAAAATGAATATTATTTTTGAAATTTTTATATAATTTTACCTTGTTTGAGACCTAACATGACCTACTTTTGAAAAAAAAAATTTTAATAATGTTAGGTACTTATTTAACGTTTGAAGGTCAGTAGCAACCCCATAAAATAATTTTTATTCAAAAATTTTTTAAATCCAGAATTTTTTTATTATATACAACATATTCAGAGGGTGCCAGCAGTCATTTATAAAAAAAGTTGTTTTAAGAACCAGCCTAATACATATATATATATATATATATATATATATATATATATATATATATATATATATATATATATATATATATATATATATATATATATATATATATATATATATATATATATATATATATATATATATATATATATATATATATATATATATATATATATATACTGGGATCGCTTAATTTACCCTTAATTTACCCCTTATACTTGTTATATTAAAATTATACTAATATATTTTACAAATAAATAACAATTTATATTTTTGTATTCTTTTGAAAAAAAAATAATAATAAAGTATAGGAAAATCATTCTTTTTAATGTTACAAACTTTTTTTTTTTTTTTTTTTTTTTGCTTTGACTGACTGAATTTTCTTGATAATAACAACCTCTATGAAAAAACAAAAATAAAAACAGTACACAAATTATTTAAATTATTGTTACTAATATTTTCTATTAAAGTTTAATATAATTTCCTATTTTGTTATTTTGCTTTTTTTTGTTTTCAAAACTTTATTTAGCAACACATATAATAAAACTTGCAAATAAAATACTCATATGTGGAACACAAAACGAAAAACTGCACGCAATTCCAGGGAAGACTTGAATGGAAATGTGGTTAGACAAGATTGCTCTCCAGAATTTTTGAAAATAAGGTTAACAGATTCCGCTTTCCATCATGCTGAAAAAAAGACACTGATAAACACTTGTTAAAAAGTTTTGAAAGTTTAAAGCCTCAGAAAACACTTCTGAAAGACTAAAATAGGTGTTTTTTCTGAACCAGAAGCTGTAGAGGAGTTTAAATTACTTAAGATACAGAAACTGGAGTGATACAAATGTCAAGCAATTGACCAACCTGTTTGTTGGCTATATCAGGTAGAATGTGAATAGTGGAACCAAAATTCCACTAACTACATTATCAAGATTGATGAAAAGTTCTTAGCAAACAATTCAGCTTCGTCTTTAGGTGAGGTAAAAAAATCTGAACTATACAAGCCAGGAGTAATGAAAGATTTGCCCTTACTACAGACACTGTTAGACATCTCTGGAACCTAATTTTTGAAGTAAAATACACAAATTTGTGACCTGAGAGTAGCGGGCTTTGGCATTAGAAAAAACATTTTTACAATGGTTTCTAGCAATGGTAAACAGATGTTTCTGGAGAATTGTATTGGCGATAGATTTGGAAGTAATAGTAAATTATGATCAGAAATTGCAGCAGCACAATGAGAGGAAAACCACGGAGATAAGTAAGGCTTGACTTGGAATTGTTGAGAGGAAATAAAACATCACATGTTAGTCTGAACCCAAGAAATTACATAAGAAGCACAATTGTCAGCAGGAAGATAAAAGATTTCTACCATCACAAAAAAAATTACGGAAAGAGTCCCAGTCAGCTTTAAAATAATTGTAAGATAATAGAAGTATCCTTATGATAAAGAAGAATGAGATAACAGTTTTAGATAAAACAAACCATGATCAGAAGCACCTAAGGGTGAACGTGGAGAAACTAAGCACTGACTAGGATCAGAAATAAGAAATAAGTTGAGTAAAGAAGAGAAATGATTCAGATTGTCTGGAAAGCAAGTTGGATAGTTGACTTTTTTTGTTAGAGATTAAGAAAGGCAAAGGTTGTGGGCCTTGACGCCTGCAGAGTCACTGATAAGTCATGTGTGTGATGAGTATTAAAGTCACCAAAAACAGCGATTTTGGCAGAAAGATAAAGCGAAAGGGATTGGTCAATTTGATAAGAAATAACATCAAAAAGGGTACAGTCTTGATGAAGAAAAGCGATACAGAACAAAGAGAAAGGTGATAGAGTGAATTGATGTTAAACAAAAGCACATAAAAGAATAGTGTGTGGAATTAAACTTAGTTTCCCGATAAATGAGTAAACTTTTAAGAATGTAAATGCCGAGGCCAAGCATTTAACTATTGGAGTTTTTACGAGTTAAAAGAAGATAACCAACAACACTAAGATCATAAAATGAGCCAGCTGAATTAAAATTAGTCACATAGAGCAAGTAAGTCCAGTGAACTTTGCTAAAGATAAGACTGAACCAAAGAAAAGTTACTTCACTAATATTCTGTCATTCACTAATATTCGTGTGTTTGCCACAAATATTAGTGAATCACAGATTTAGAGAACTTGGCAATTATAATGGTTTTTTGTGTTTTATTGTTTTTATACTTTAGTTATTTTTTTAAATTGATTAAAGAAATTGACTCAAAGTCCAAATAGTACTCAGTACACTATTTAATAGACAAATATGCAATTGAGGATTACACAAAGTAGGGGGTTGTCCATAAATTATGTCACGCTCTAAGAAAGGGACGAGTTAGTGGTTTTGTGATAACTTGTTACTGAAGTGTTACGATGTTGTGACAAAAAAGAGAGGGGGTAGGGATCAAAAATGGTTAAAAACTGTGTGTCGTAATTTATGGACAAGCCCTAATTACATTTCCTTTATTAACAAAATTATTAATAATAAAATATATAAGGCATTGCAGAATATTTCTTGACCAAAACTTTAAAAGGTGTAGTTAAAATAATAAAATTTAATATAAAAATTTATTTTATTTAATATAAAAAAACATCTTTTTTTTTTAAATATGAAAAAAAAAACTTCTAAAGATTTTTTAATTCTAAATAAAATCAAAACATGTAAGTAAGCCTTGTAGTAAGAAAACATGTCACAGTCTTACTAAAGTCTTTTTTTATTAAACCCTAAAATATTTTAACATAACTGAAGTTTTAAATACATTTAAAATATTCATATTGACTTCATTTGAAATGATGGAAAAGATCTTATTGTTTATTTCATATATGGTTGTACTGTAATGTTCTCATGCACACGTACACACACACACACATATAAACACACTTTCTTTTAGAAAACTTTTAGAAAAGTTTAAACGAAGTTTAAACAGAGTTTAAAAAAAATTGAAATTATAAAAAACAGAAGTATTTTCTAATATTATAATTTGTATTATAAGTTTAGAGAATACATTTTTTTTTTAATGGCAAAATTTATGGTTGATTATTAAATATTTGGTTGATCCTTAAATATTTGGTTGATTGTGATCAGAAATAACTGTAACATATTTTATGTTTATAATACTAACGGTAAATGATTACTAATTTTTAAATATAAAAGTTTTATTTGTATATATTAGTTTTGATTAATCATTTTTCATTTTTGTTTAATGAAGTGATTTATTTAGGGATTTAGCGGAGTCATCATCATCAACTGAAAAATCTTTTTATAGTTTCTATACTTTTTCTGGTCTTCTATGTAGGCCTTTTTTATTTTAAACTTAATGTTGACATTTTACAGTAAAAACTGAAAACAACTGTTATCCTACATGCTGGAAAAATGTATGTGGTTCCAATTTTTAAAATCTCTGCCCTCTATAACTATTTACTATTCTATTTAGTATTCTACTTGATAAATATTGCTTCACATCTTTTTTACAATTATATTTAGTATTCTACTTGATAACTATTGCCTTAAGTCTTTTTCATTATTATATACTAATTCTTAAAGTCTAAATTAATAAATTTTTATTATATAATCTTGAGTCTAACAATTTATCTATGACAATAAATACAAATTTGGATCATCTTGTTTTACTGGTGACTTCTTAACTTTTATAACAGAAAATTTTATTGTGAATTAGATTTCAACTGTGTTAGGTTAATGTGATTGATTATGTCAGTTTAATGACTATAGACAAACTAATGATTTTTCCAACTTTTCTACAATTCAAACAATGACTAACAATTCCAATTGTTCTATTTTAGGGCTACGTTTCTCTAAAAGTAAAAAACCTTTTGTCAATCAGAGGTTTATCTCTACTTCTATTTGCATTCTAGGTATATCATTAATAATTTAAGGAAAATTGTATATCAACTGTCAAGGGCTATTTTAGGAATATAATTTAGACGGCAATACCCCACCTACCGGCACTTACCCTAAGAAAGTTTGGAAAAAAAACAAAAAATAATATTTTTGTGACTTTTGAGTCCAGAGTTCTTTGTGGGACTCCTCATCTTTGGCTTAAATTGTTAATAAACTTTAAAAAATTTAATTTAAAAAGTATCAAGATATAATTTTAAAAACTTCTTACTCATAGAAACTGATCAAATCATCAGCCATAATGATATTCAAAAACCTAAAACAAAAATAAGTAGATGAATAAATTATCAAAACACGCAGTGAAGGGACACAACTAAGTGAGATCATTCTCAAACTATTTTCCCACTTTGATTGGTCATGAGGATTTGTTAGAAACTATTATTTTGTAATAACTTTAATAATTTCTTAACATTGACTTTGCTACATTAAAGTTTAAAGTTTATTTAATATATTAAATGGTTTAATAAATACATCAATGAACAAAAATAAAAATAAAAATAAAAAGATTACTTATTTGGTTGCTATCAAAATAATCAATATAAAATAAAATAAGCAATAAAATAATGTTTGAAACGGAATTTTAAATTATACTAATTATGTTAAAAATATTTTTAAAAGTCAGCTGTAATAATTTTAAAATTTTTTTTGTAATTAACAACTTGATTTTTAAATTTTCTGGTAATTGAAGAAAACTTTGAACTTGAATTTGAAAACAAAACTATAATTCTCTCTGAAAGTTAAAAATATACAGAAATTTTTATATCAAAAATTAAAAAATTATCAATATTTTAGAAAACAGGTAAAGACATTTGAAGACTTATTATTTAATGAAAAATAACTTTGTTTTCAAATAATTTTAACTGTCTTTAAGCACGTTAAATGGTATTGTTATTTTATTTAGATTTAAAAAAAAAAGAAATGCAACTATTTAAGCTATTTATTGGATGCTTATTAGTAATATTTGTAATAATACTAAACGAGCTAACTGTGCTTTTAACATTTAAATATCACGTGAGCGACTTGCTCGGTGCAAACGTAAAACCTTAATGATTAAACAAACCTTAAACAAACATTGCAATACAGCTTGATTAAACATCTTTGTGTCTGTAAGCAAAATTATTTTAATGAAATTTTAAATTTTAAAATCATAATTTTACATAACATTATCGTATTTTAAAGATAAATTCTTTTTTTTGTTGATGTTATGATTTTTCGGTCACGGCATTGATCCATTTTTTAAAACAGTTTTTGGTTTGCTTCCGACCACTTAACCTTGAATAACAATGGTTTTGTAAACTAAATAATTTATTAAAGTTTTTGTTTTAAATTAGAGCTCGTCAATTAATTTGTCTTATCAATAAAAACTCACTTTTATTTATTATTTAATTTTTTTTGCATACATGAGCCGGTGAGAATCAGAATAATGTTACTCAATGTTTTTGCAATTTAAGATTTTTAAGGTTTTATAAGATTAACTGTAAAGAAAACACTACAACCCTACAACTAAAAAAAAAAAGCAAAGTTGCTAATTTCTTTAAAATAAAATTACACCAAACACCAATGACGGATCCAGAATTTTTTGGTGTGAAAGGGATGTCGCAATATATTTGTATTTTGTATAACATTTGCGTCTACCAAATAAAAAATAAAAATAAAAAGTTCTCCCTTTCTAAGATATTTAAGGATTTTCAGATTCTAGTGGAAGGGGGGGGGGGATGCACACCCACCATCCCCCCTCTTGGATCCGTCACTACATTACAACAGTCTCAAATTTAACAGAATGATGCTTTGTAATTATAAATATTGACTTGACTTGACTTATGCTATGCTGGTTCTCACCAGCTAAGTAAATGTTTCCAAAGCATGATATGATATGATATTAACAATTTTATTTTAATGCTGCACCAAGCAATTTTTAATATGTTAGAAGTAAACGAAAAAAAAGTATATATTTTTAAAACAGTTTTGATTTGATAACTGTTTGGCTTGAGATAATTCGCTTTTTAAATATATAAAAAGCTAAAATTTTAATTCAAAATTTTTTCCTAAAAATTTTGAAAATTTTCACAATTTTAGAAAAAAAATGAGTTAAAAATTCAGCTTTAGAATTATTGCAAAACAGACAAATTAGTACTTATATCGAAACATAAAATCTGGAAAAAAGTTCAAAACATCATAAAGTATAATCATTTATTTTCCAATAATATAAATTGTTTCAAAATTATTTGAAGGAAAGAAATCTACTATTAATGTAAAATATTCATCATAAATTAACAATATTTCCAATAGACCCGTCTAAACAACTTATATTATGGATAGAAGATTACCTAGATGTATTATCTGCAAAACATTTTTCTGCTGATTAGATTTTGCTTAAGATGAGACAATGGCCAAACAGAAGTGACACATCATTTAAAATATTCTCAGATCCTGTGGTCTTATTATTATTTTAACGGTCTTATCACAAAACACCGTGTAATACCATTTAACCAGGAAATTCAAGCTTTCTTTTTTATCAATGTTGTCTTCCTTACCAATGATTTCTTTAGAAGTCTAATTATTACACCACGGCTGCTACATCAAAATATTTTGAATCACAATTATGTTCTAAAGTCACGTGAGTTTTTGGTATAATATATATGCTTATCTCTTGCAACTCGTGCTTCTGAAAATAAGAAACTTAAGATTTTATCTGTATAGGTTTTGTCTTTAATGTTGCGAAAATCCCCTGATGCACTTTGGTATTTCTTTTCACACCTTCTATTTCAGTGAAGTCTATATAACTTTAAATTTTCAAGAACAATTGCGCAAAACCACTGTTTGTTTTGACTTTTTTTCTCTTCATTCAAAATTTACACTTGAAAATTATATCACACAAATTTGCACTCAAAATGTATGTCCTTTTGCGTTTTTCAATACAGTTCCAATTTTTATAACTTTGATTTCAACCCTTTTACAGCGTTTTGATTCAAATCAATTTGAGCCAAATTGCAAATTTTGAACTAAAAATTTTAAGATTTAGTTTGCAATCGACATATTCACTAACGGCCTGACTCTTACAATAACCAACCATTTTAACAGCGCTTATAAAAAACAGCTTCTTCACGTTTGAGATTACTCCAAAGTTTGCGAAAGAACATTGATGCATACTCCGAAAGAGAAATTTACCAAACAATGATTATACCACTAATTATTTTTGATTGTATTGCTAATATAAAGTTTACATCAACTAGTTGCTGTAAACTTTATATTAGCAATACAATTAATGTCATTATCATTTATCATTAATATCATTAATGACATTACCGGTTTTTACATCCATTTAAAACAATCATGACAACCATTTAAAACAACCATGACATTCATTTAAAACACCGCGACAATCAATTAAAACAATGTGATTTTCAACTAAAACAATCGTGACTTTCAATTAAAACATTTAACGCATGCGCAATCTTAACATTCTATATTATTTTTAAAAAAAGGTTTTATTTATATACTTATTTATTTAAATTTATTTTTAATTGATATCATATTAATTTATTTTAATTTAATGCAATTTAATTTAATATTAAACGGATGACATATTTAAATGGATGCGATACCCGGTAAACGTGTGTACGCCTTACTTAGAAAATACACTGAGAGGTTTGATGTTGAGAGATATCTATTCTAAATAGAGGAATGGCGTCACAGCAAAACATACGAGCAACGAGATATTAAAGAAAAAGAAGTAAAATTATCCAAACGGATATTCGAACCACGGCCTTTCGAGTATGAAGAGAACGCCTTACCCAAAGTACCTAAACGCCTCAGACAAAATAAACATTATATAATAAAAAGGTGTTGATTATCATGGATGTTTTAAATAAACGTTATGGTTGTTTTACCAATAAGATAAGGCCATGTACCTAAACGGCATGAAATAATTGAAGCTTAATAAATATGTATACATGTGTGTACGCCTTACCGGGCTTTTCATCCATTTAAAACAAGTATGGCATCCGTTTAATATTAAAATAAATTGCATTAAATTAAAATAAATTAATATGATATTAATAAAAAATAAATTTAAATAAATAAGTATATAAATGAAACCTTTTTTTTTAAATAAATTAGAATGTTGAGGTTGCGCATGCGTTAAATGTTTTAATTGAAAGTCACGATTGTTTGAACTGAAAATCACATTGTTTTAATTGATTGTCGCGGTGTTTTAAATGAATGTCATGGTTGTTTTAAATGGTTTTCATGATTGTTTTAAATGGATGTAAAAACTGGTAGTAAGACCATATGTTCTGAGAATAATTCAAATGATGTGACACTTCTGTTTTTCCATCGCCTCATCTTAAGCAAAATTTAATCAGCAAAAATATGCTTTGTAGATAACACAAGTAATCTTCTATTCATGATATAAATTGTTTTGACGGACCTATTTAAAATATTGTTAATTTATAATAAAATTTTAGTTAAAATTGAATTTAAATGCCTAAAGTTATATTTGACTCATATTTTTAATGCAAAAGTTAAATTTTAGCATAACACCTTTGATTGGCAAAGGAAAATGGTACCCACTTTCTGATTTATTCTGAGGAATACTCACCAGCTCTAGAAGATCCCATTTCAAAAGAAAATCAAAATCTTAAGCTCTCTATACGTTTACTCTTAAATCTAGAAGATTTTGGAAATTAATTAAATAGTGTCTCACTTTGAAAGAGTGTTTCAAAATTACTTTGAACACTTTCTGATAATACTGTGTACACTGTTTTTTTCTTGAATAAAGCTTTTGTTTAGGAGTCATTTTTTGTAAGAATCAGGCAGTCAATGGAAGTGACCTTGTCCAAATTGCTTGAATTTTTTATATATTGATCAGAATATAGAGAAAACCTGTTGGGGAAAAAAAAAATTTCAAAAGTGTTTCGTTCACTCGGAATCTGGGCTTAAATTTTTGAGATTTTTAAAAAAATTTTCAGAAATTTAGTTTTTGCCACCTTTGAACCCAATTTTTTGGCAAGGCAAAAAGTTGCACATAGCTTTTGTAGTTAATATCAGACGTAACCCAAAAGCTCTCTCCAAAAAATATAAAAAAGTTGCGTGACACTGTGCGGTTGGCTAATTATCATAGTTCAAAAGTACAAAATCAATCAGTTTTGTCAATTTTTAATCGGAGTTAATTCTAGCGGCGAAGTGTTGCACACAATTTTTCTTTTAGGATTTGAAATTATCAAAGGTATTGAGTCTAAAAATGCAAAGAAAGTTATGTGATACCTAAGGCCTATTAATATATTAAGGCTTGAAATTGGAAAAAAATGTTATAGTATACTTACAAAATGAGCTATTACGGCAGAGGCGCTAAGTTTTGTAAAAATATAATCATGTTAAATGGTCAATATAAGATGACCCTAACATAGTTTAAAAAAAAACTCATTTGATCTTTAGATATTAAGTTAAAAATAAAGTTACAAATTGTTAAAAATGATTAAGTACGAAGAGATATTTTTTTGGACACACAGATGAGGTTTTCGCTCACAATAAAATTTCTATCATCCAAAATTAGCAATTAGCATTACACAAAACATTGCACGTAATGTTAAGAAAAAATTTAAGCGTTTCTGACTATGATATAGAAATCATAACAATTGAAATAAATAATAATAAAAAACAATACATGATCAGAAGTGAATTATTTAAATTTACGTGATAACCAAATAACTTGTGGTGATCGAATGGAAGAAGAATCGCTGATATCACGATTGTGGAGAAACAAGTTAGTGGGCGGTTGTTTACTTTACCATAAAAATGTCTTAACTTTATTTTAACGATCTTTAAAATTTGCATAAATAGAGTAGATATTTTATCATTGCTATTGGGAAATAGGTACTGCATAAATAGAACTTGTTTTTAGTTGAGTATGGAACAAAACAAATATTTTTATGAAAACTGTTGTTGCTTTTCAAAAGGAAATTGTGGATCATTCAAAAAACATAAAATTATAAACAAAATGTTCTACATTCATCAGCTGGGAGATGTTGATGTT